AAGCGGGCCCTCCACAGCATTCCGAAGCTCCCGCTGGCGATCGGCAGAGAGGCCATTGGCTCGCGGGACCCAAACAGGGCCATCCCCTCCAGCTCCCCCGAGCATCCCGTTCGGAACCGCAACATTCAAGAGGTTGGCCATGGTGCCTCGAACAGGTCTGCACCACCGGCGGGGTTCGGACTCTCCTCGCACACCGTTTGCAAGCCCTCCGGGCCGCAGGGGTCTTAAGCGGAGGCTTCTCGGGGGAAACTTCCCGTTTCCCGCTGGCGTGGTTTTCGGTGTGTTCGCGGGCGATGCTCCTGCCGAGGTGCCCGATGGGGCCGCGGGGCCCCCTCCGCCGGATGACCGGCAGGCTTTGCGGGGCGCTCGTGTCTTTGGATGCGCAGTGTGGGCCCAGGCCTACGGATTGGCCAGGCGCGGGGCGGCCGTACGCGCAGTGGGTGCGCGCGGCGCCTTGCGGCCTGCGGGTGCAGCCGCTGGGAGGCGAGTGGGCACGAATGGAATTACAGGCTGACATGCGGGGTCGGTCACATGACCCCCGCATGCAGCGGTACACAATCGACAGAACAACGTATCGAATGTACCCGTATCGATAGTATCTCATCCCCGAGTACGGCAGGGGCTCAACCTTAAGTACTGGAACTTCTATAAGCCATAACTCCACTACCGCTAACCCGTTTGGGATGATTCAAAGACCTATGGAAAGCTAACAGCCTCCTCTGTCCCATCTCGGTACAATCTCATGTCAATTATCAGTTCCCAGTGAATAATTGGAGTAAACCGGCTACCCCCTAATAGTTTACACAACACCCACAGCTCTGTACGGCTGACTCGGCTGTCAGCGCATGTGACACATCACAAAAGACCCAGTTGCACTGGGCAACCTACAGGGTTGTCTCCGTACCCTTGACAGTATGTGTTTGGGTACATGGGAGGCCAATGCGACACAGGTCGGTCGCGTTTCATCACAGTACGACATCCAAACATGGATGTCAATCAAACTACTTCACTAATACGTAAGTATAAGCGAAAGCACCAAGCTCATCCTTGTCCCACCCATTCTGGGTAGGGCTTTGACGGACAGGCGCCGAGTTTCAGTTGCATTCAACAACCCCTTTCAAGTGTTTCAGGGCTGTGAATTAGTCCAACCGCTGGGCAACTTCCATACTGCCCTGTGAGTCATGCCCGATCATCGGAATGAACCCCAGACGACACCAGGTCTCCTGGCGCACCATGCCCTGACGCTGTGCATCGTTTCAATCACAGCCACCTCCTAATTTAAAGCACTGGCGGGCATACAACTGCCAGGCCATTTTGGTGCTTTCTTTTAGCATTCCTGGCTCAATAATTGGAGTCGCCCTTGCAGCTGCCAGAGTCCTAGCAAAATGCTATAATATTCAACCAACACCGTACTAATGTACAACTATGTTCTTTCACATCTTTTTGTCTTTTCTTGTAATTTCCTTAGTTGTTTTTCTTTTTCAATTCTTGCCATGAACTGTCAGCGGTTCTTTTCAAGAAACACTTTTTTTTTATCAGCGAACATTAGTAGCAACTAATCTTCAAATGCTGTAGTTGTATGGCTTCAGGTCCAACAGTTATTTCAGACCTATATTTGGGCTATTGCAGTCTAACTCCAAGACCCGCATTTTTAATACGGATAACCACGCTTAATCGTACCAAGCTACAACTCTTCATACCGGACTGTGCATAACCTTCGGTAGCATTACCTTGTGTTTCTTTCCAATTCAGTTTTACTCGTTATTTACTCTTCAGCTGCCACTTCTTCAGCCATTCTGTTCACCTCGCGTTGTTAGTGAACTGGATTTTTGCTCACCCAGTTCTTAGTAGTCTATGGCAGGTCTTTTAATGCATACTTTTCTTATCCATTTTTTGCCCATGTGTCCCAATGACATCCCTGGGCTGAACGCTCCAAGACAATCCATTTACTCACTCAGCTGGTCGTCCTTTCTTTTCAAATCCTCATGTAGATTATAGAGGTGGCCACTCAAGATGCCATCCGCTCCGTTAAATCCGGTTCGTTAATTTTTATCAGCTGTTCGTTAAATTCCGTTACTGAAAAAGAGAGAAAAATTCAGAAAAAACGAAAAAAAATCCAAAAAAATCGAAAAAAAACCCAAAAAATCACAACAACTGCGGCTAGTTGAAAATCTAGTATGCATAGGTTGAAATAAAATACAAACATGCTCTCTAATAGCGAATTCTATAAACTATAAGTATGAAAAAAACCCAAAAATCCCAAAAAAATCCAAAAATCCGTTAATTTTTGGTTAATTTTTGTCTTTTTTCGTTATTTTCCGTTAATTAACGGATTAATTAACGGAATTAACCTCTGTCCGCTATTAACGGATCCGGGTGGCCACCTCTAGTAGATTACAGTTACAATGCCTAACATCAAGCAGCCATCAAACACAAACCCTCGGATCCGCTTCAAGTGGAAACAATTGTGTTCATCTAATCCAAATTTCTGATGCTGCTTTTCAAAAACCCATTTCCTTCTCAAAAGCTTCCAGCGGTTATGCTCATGAACGGTGGAGCCCCAGTCAGGTGGTATCAATGCTCGTCAGCGTGTCCAAATCTGGACAGCCACTGAGGGATTGTGGCTTGTCTTGTTTCCTTGGTCTTTTTCCTACAGCCATTGTCCAGTCAGTATGTTAGACACCATAAACTGTAAAGGCACAGCGACCATCAGATATCTTCTTGATATGCCATTTACATAAAACTCTTCTTTGTTCTTTTTACGAATGCATATATGTTTTTTTCTTCGCTGGCTTCTCTTTTCTTTTTCTTATTCATCCTGACTGGCTGTTTGATAGTGGCCCAGTCAGCTGCCCTATGTCGGTCATGAGCCTGCCTTAAATGTGCCAGTGCTCATGACTAACGGCAGTTTTAACAATTGCACTGTGATTGAACATGTGCAACTCATTTTACAGCTCATTACCATTCAGCTCCCTTTCAACATCTCAACCACCATGTATGTAGCCAGCCCAACAGTGCAATGCAGAGGTTAGCCGTGCCGCAGCGCGCGCGGATATTCGGCCTTGTACTGTATACCGAAAAATTTTTGCGGAAGAAAAATTTTCGCGTACCAACGAGTGCGCGAAAATATTTCTCCGCGATTTTTTTCCCGCGAAATACGCGAAATTTTTTGTCCGCGAAAAATTTTCGGTATACAGTACAAGGCCGAATATCCGCGCGCGCTGCGCACGCACGGTCCTCTGATTAACCTGACGGCGTGGCATTGATTTACAGTAGTCCAGCCCTCGGGCGCACATTGCCGTGTGCGCCCAGCCCTCGGGCGACATCTAGTACCTGTAGGGAAGTGAGCAAAAAAGGAGTGATGAGCTGCATGTTAAGTCTGTGGCCCACTCCCCTCTGTTCCCTTGCCGCACTCCTCCCAGAGCCCGCCACCAGCCCCTTCCCCGCCGCAGCGGCCACAACTCCCGCCCTGCCCGACGGAAAAATGGCCGAAGACTGGAAGGCGGGCGGCCTGTGCTCGTGCTTCAACGATTGCTCCGTGTGTGAGTGGGTCGCCGCCACGTCATGCCCCAAACCCCCTGCCCCACTGGCGCCGCGGTGGCTTCATTCCCCGAGATTCGCGATCTGTTCTTTGGGTCCGCAATTTTCTAAGGACGGATTGGTCCAAGGGGACGGATTTGGCATGTGCCATTCGGCTCTTGCCGCTGGGTACCGCCGCCAGTTGCCCATGACTCACTCCCCAATGCGATCTGCGACCGATAGTCAAGCCGCCGTGCCCTGCACGGCGAGCTCCGCGCGATCCGCGGGCCCCACGATCTGGACGTGGCAATTGCGATCTGGCGGCTGCGAGGGACGTCGGGAGCGAAGCGCCGTGAGAAGTTTTGGTCGCTGGTGACGTGGCGATCTGGGCATCGGTTCATGTCGGATGCTCACGGCGTGCGGCCTGGCGCACGGCTTTGCGAACGCTTGTCTTGCGCTCCGTTGAGTCTACCAGAGCAGTGGCGGGGGTGGAGTGGAGGTTGCCCGCGGTGGTGCTTGTGGCTGGCCCAAGTGTTGCGTTGGGCGGGTTTCGAGACGTAACGCATTGCCATCCAATGCGCGGGACAGGCAGCAGAGGGAAGCGTAGATGGCGGTCCCTCGCAACAGAACGCGGCCCCTTGGCCACCGGCATGCGCATCGAATTACGGACTGGAAGTCAAAGGACGCACTGCAAGCCGCTCGTACGGCCGCCGGCCGCACTTTGGGCGACGGTTGTGCCTGACCTTGTTTATCGAATGTTGCGGACGACAATGACACAAGGATGGGCTCCCCGGGAAAGGCCGAGAAGACGAACCACATACCGCGCAGCGCCGCAGCTGGTGGTCAGCGTAGATCGGAATTTGATAGACGACTGCCGTATTGTTGCAAATGGCTGTCGGGGAAAAAAGCGTTGGGCAACCACATGGTTGCATGATTAAAGCTTCTTGAGGCCACCTATTTGGTTTCCAGGGACCAGAGGTAAGATGCAAGCCTCTAGCACTGAGAATTTCAACACGCTGTACTGCGGATCGGCCAACTTGAAAGGATTGTATTGTTGCAGGCTTGTTGCCTGTTAAGGTGATTTATGCCAGCAAGCACAAGATGGACGGGATGCATACGCCAAGCAACCAATACTCCACTGAGAGACCTGTGTTTGCCTTGACACAGTTGTGGTTGGCATCTTCGAAACCGAAAAGCTGCCCTTTTCTGTCTAACTGACCCCTCCACTTGCCCACGTTTTTGTGAACTTGCAGCACTGAAAATGACTTGGTATCGTTTGTTGAACCCCTTTAACATGCCAACTGGTTACATTGCACGTGGCACCTGCCTCCAGTGTCTGATAGAATGTGCAGAGCTGTTGCCAATGTTTCCTGCTGAATTCACTTCTTTCGGGTCAATGTAAACCCCCTCGGCTCCATGCCACCTGTCTGAACGCTGGAACATTAACTATGCCTTGGCCAACCTGATCTTGACAGTCTTCCATGGTGTGCAATTCAGTCTGCAAGGTGCTCTTCTGCCCCTGCGTTGCATATGCAGAGATCAAAGAAGGTGAGCGCACCAGGAGCTCTGATGCTGTGATGGACAGTCAATGTGGCAGCCATGCAGATATGCTTCTGTCTCCATCTAAAATAAGTTTGTCACTTTCAGGGTACTTTGGCAACATTTTGTTTCAAGGGCAGCAACATCCATGACAAATTTATTTGATTCTTTCTGGCGCTCCTTGGCCCCAGGCAATGGCCTGGCAGGAGCACCCAACTATTGGGTGCTTCACGACAAATACAGTGGTGCTGCTTGTTGCCTAATATCTCCCCTCTGTAGCCCACCCTACACTTGACCGCCAAACCTAACCGAAGAAAACGCCCCACAACACAAGTGGCAACGGCAAAGCAGAACTCTTAGTGAATGAGTACCAGCATTACAAGAATCATCTAGACAGCTCTTCAAGGATAGTATGACCTTCCATGAAGCCATTTTTGCCCTCCAGCACTTCATGGTGGCGAGGTTCCCAAGGATTACTGCTGCAATCCCTGCTGCTGCTACTGCTTTTTGATGACATTCGCTCCGTATTGCATCCCTTGCATCCTCACTGGCAAGACCCGCCGTGACATCCGCACTAAGTACAACCTGAAGCCAGACTGCTGCGGCGACTGCTGCACACACTTCTTCTGTGGAGGCCTTGCCCTGATGCAAGAGAGGAGGGAGTTCAAGAGCCGGCCCCTTGAGCCGTGGCCTGTGGAGACTGAGCATGAGCAGCAATCGACCTATCAGCCACCTGCACCTGAGAGGATTGCAACTGTCTGAGTAGCCACAGGCTTTCTGGCAGTTGATGCCCACTCCCTGGCGCTGCAGGATAGAGTGTGCCTGGGGAGGTGGAGCTGTTGTGATTCGTGCAAAGCTGCACGAGTTGGGAACGGTTGCTCTTGACTGATGTAACTGCATGGTTGGATCGATATCCTTCTGATTCCTCTCTTCCAGACAGGGCTGTCACCAAGAGCGTGGGCGGCTAGACGGTTTAGGTTGCGGGTTGGAGATGCTCGCATTGGTCCAATGTGTTTGGTTGCTGGGTGTCAGCTTTGGTTGCCCTAATGCTGACCTCCTGTGTGGGAGGGGTTTTATGTATAATGCATGCACAACTCAGGCCTTGGGCCGTGCCAGATTTGCTCCTGTTGTTGATGACGCTCAGTGGTTGGGCCGCACCCTGAAGGACATTTATGATTGGAGCTAAGTAGCCCATGCACCGAAAAGCTGATGCAAATACTTGTATGGCCAAGGCACGAAGGTGAGTTGTCGTGGGCCTTTGACGAAACAGACCTCCCCAACCCAGATGCACTGCACGGAACCAGCAAATTGATACAAGTAGAACACTCTCCCGTAGTGGTTGCCATCCGCTAAGGACACTGCAATGGACAACTTCGCACAGCCCGCTTCTAGCCCGGTTGCATAACATGTCAAAGAACCCCAAACAGTGACGTCCAGACCTTCCACATGGATGAGAATGGATTTCAGCAGCGAGTCCAATCGCAAGGAATCCTCCAGGCTTGTGCTCATGTGCGAGCACAGCGCAGTGAGCCAAGCGAAGTCCGCGCAAGAGTTGAAATTGTCAGACTTTGGGCTGTCGAGGTCCAAGCAAGAAATCTCGTGTGAGTTGAACACAAACTGTTTGATGTTGCATCGACCCAACTCGAGCCCTGTCCACTGTATATGCAGAACTACATGGCCAGGACTAGACTTTCCAAAGATTTTGTCCAATTGCATCTGATTTGTGTCGTCTGATTTATCCTCCCAATTATAGTCTTCAGATCAAGGTTTCCTCTTCCACCCAAACTTTCACCATTTTCTTTACATTTTTAATGCTTCGGCGTGAAAGGAAGTCAGTAGGATTGTGCTTCCTTGGAATGTGCACTAGGTCATAACATCTGTAACCACTTCCAGATCTTCCTATTTGTCACCAGCTAGGTCTACAATTGCTTGAGCGAATCATGATCCATCTGGATCGTGAAATGACGACCTGTCATATAACATCACTATTTTCCAATTGGCCACACAATTCCTATAACCTCTCACTCATAGGCACTATATCTGGTCTCAACTGAAGCCAATTTTCTGCTTTCATAGCAAATTGGTTGAAGACCATCTTCAAAATCTTGTTGGAGAATAGCGCCTACTAACACCTCTGAGGCATCAATGGTGATTGTAGATTCTTTATCAGGGTTAGGTAGCTTAAGTATTGGTGCAATCACCAATGCCTTTTTAAAATCATGGAAGGCCTCCTCTTCCTTCACAATCCAAAGAAAGGCCTATCTTTCTTGATGAGGTTAGGGGGGCTGCAATTTTTCTTAAAAAATTTTGCTGAAACATTGGATAAACTTCCAATAAAAGTTTGCTAGCCCTAAAAATGACCTCACATCAGTGACACTCACGGGCGTAAGCCACTCCAGGATAGCACTGACTTTGGATAATGTTGGTTTCAAACCACCAACTCCCACATCAAATTCAAGGTATTCTACTTTAGTTTTGAAAAACTCATATTTCTTCAACCTCTCATAGAATTTCTTCTCTTCAATTTTCTTCAAAAATGCCTTTATGTGCTCCAAATATTCTTCCTTGGTTCAACTACATATCAAGATACCATCAAAGAAAATAAGAACAAACTCATCAAGACTGCCACGAATAGATGATTCGTGATCTTTTCAAAGGTCATAAAGGCATTACACAATCCAAATGGCATAACCATATATTCAAATGAACCATACCTAGACAAAAGTTTATCTTGAGGATGTCTACCTCCCTCACCCAGATGTGGTGATATCCAGAAGATAGATCCAACTTGGTGAAGAACCTAGCCCCATATAACTGCTCCACCACCTTGGGCAACGGGTACCAGCTTTTCACAGCGATTTTGTTCAAAGCCTTATAGTTAATGCAAAGGTGCTATTTCCCATCCTTTATTGGGAATAAATAAGATGGCCACTCCACAAAAACTTGAACTAGGCTTAATCCAACCTTGCTCCATGAGAGTATCAACATGATGATTTAATTTATCCATTTCTGCCACACTAAGCCTGTATGCGTTTTTGTGTGGTGGCATTTATCCCAGTGTTGTAATGGTCTCATGATCAATAACTGTTGTGGAATTACTTGGGGGTAGTTACTGTGACGTGGTTACTTAGGGTTAGGCAGTTATTGGTATTTTCTGCAGTGGAAATTATGTAATTGGGGAATATGCCTTTTGTGGGTGTTATTTAGAGCTTCATGGTTCCAACGCGCCTTTAAACGCCCAATTCCGTTAAGAATTGACGAAGATATGGCCTCCTGAAGTCGTAGTACTTAGGGTCAGGGGGTCGGGTGTTAGACGTTTAGAATTAGAGGACATTAGGTTGATCGTAGGTGAACGGTGAACGGTGACGATGTGCCTGGACGCGCACTTGAATTGTCTTGTCTTGATGTGACAGCGATGGACCTGCGATCGGGCATCGCGCATGCGAATTTGTGCGCGCGCATGCAGTGAATTCGTGTAACCGTTCTGGCCCACTCTCTGGCCTCCCGCGAGCCAGCGAACCACCTAACCGCTGCGCCGCCACCTCTCACCGACAACAGGCCCTGGGGATCGATCCCCGTTGAGCATTGGGCCCACCGCGCGACCAAGGAATCGACTGCCTCGATTACGCCCACCGTCCAAGGTGGAGAGGCCGGCTGACCTCCAATAGCCGTGCTGCAAGGCAGGGCGACCCCAGAGCCTCCGGAAACCAGCATCTGCCGACGGGCCGCAACAATTACAACCATATTTTTGGGGGCCAATTTAGTGGCCCTGGTTGTTCATTTCTAGAGTATTTTGGGTGGTTGTGAGTTCTTGGGGACTGGTGGAGATATGCCGAAATTTTTATATTACATTCTGCACTTGTACATTGCGTTTCCTTGTGTGCTAGCCACCCAATGTAGGGCGAGTCAGCTGCGCTGCGCGGGAGTGGCAAAACTGCACTTGTCTGATAGTTTGTAACTGCATTCGGACCTTAGCACCCGCGCTTGCCGCCACCAAGCACGAGGAGCCATTTCTGCCACACCTTCGGGTCCTTGGCCGCACCCCGGTGATCCATAGGATCACGAGGGCCCACCACAGCGAGCGAGAGGGGAAGCGAGCGCCCCGAGACGCCACACCGCGAGGTGTGAAAGGCTGCCCATCGGTAGCGATCGGGCACCATTGGGAAGCGCCCAAAGTGGCAGCGAACCACCCCATCAGGTGGTTTCAGAGCCGGCGACCGGGGGGAATGCAGACGCATGATGCGGGAGCGAGGAGAGTGGCCGCGAGAGGGGCGAGATCAGGCAAAAAGCCGACCCCGCGGATCCGGAATCGGGAGAGGCGGTCACCGTGGGATTCCGCGGTGAATCGCCAGTCAATCGTGGAGGCGCCGGCCCGTGGGACGGCAGCGCGAGCAAGTTCGATCGACGGGGAGCCGGAGGGATGCAGGTCCATGCCGAGGGATGGAGCAGCGAGGCCAGCCGTGGGCGAGGCGAGCCGGAGAGTTGACAGCAGCCAATCAAAGGCCAGCAGCCCAGTCACATAACAATCCTGGGCACGCGGGGGGAAGGCACACCATCACATGACAATCCTGGGCATGCGAGGGGGAAGGCGCCCCGTCACATGACAATCCGGGGGGAAGCGGCAGTATTGACGCCTACTGGCAGTACTTTGGAGCAACCAGAAGTCACCAATACCGAGGCCAGCGACCAGTGAGGCTACTGCAAGGCTACAGGAGGGATTCCAACCCAAGCCAGCAGTACTTAAACCTACCTCAGTACTTAGTGACCAAGGCAGGGAACCAACTCAGTACTTAAGGGCTGCAGTACTATTGCAAAGTATTACAAAGCCACTCTACACCCAAGAAAGGTGGGTTGGTTACTATTTCTGCATAGTGGATGCGATGTGCGGGGGAGACCTGTGTGGATCCGAGAAGGCCCCTACTAACAGACTATGTAACCCCGGTGCACGATCCCACTGGACTAAGATCAGTGGTAGGTTTGAACATCTAAGATACCCGCCGGGAGCCATGGCTGTCAGGCTCGGGTTGAAGCCACCAGTACCTAGGAGCTAGGAAAGTCACAGAAAGGGGCCAACCTTCACCTGCTATCACTGGAGGGGGGCCAGTGGCAGTGGGTGTGACCACGGGACTGTCGCGCTTCCCGGATGGTAGGCGGTAGGAGCCTTCCCTAGTTCTACCCCGCTCCAGGCAAGGAGCTACCCATACGCCAGCCTAGGAACTCGTGAGTTCCTAGTCCTTTGGTTGTATTAGGGGAGAACCATGTCCATTGGTCTACGCCTGTCCAGCAACAGGTTGGAGGTTCCGGACACCTTAGACTTCCTCAGTTCAGTGTACTTGATCAGTTCCGTTAGACCAGATGACTACAATAGTCAGTTGTTATCTTCAATCCAGTTGTCTACCAGCTTTGAGTATTTCATTCAGTTCCAGTACCTCTGCCTGACTACACTTACAAAAGAGTTTTGTTGTTGTTTTGTTTGTGGCCATACAAGGAGTGCTACTCGCCTGTCAGTGTCAGTGACCAGAGATAGCGAACCGGAAGGGATATGAGGGACGTCTAACCCAGGATCTCATGTATATGATAATATGAGCATTTCATCAGGAGGGTCAGCCCATTCACCGGGGAGTACTTCAGCGGCTGCAGGGGAGAGCAGTGGGGCTCAGGATCTTGCATTGGTTCCAGTGTCTGTAGCATTTGTGACACAGCAGGAGGCGCTTTCATTCAGAGATCGGCACAGGCGTTGCATGTAGAGGGACCCATGGAGC